CAGCTGGTATAGCACTGGATTAATGTGATCCTGCAACGAGGACCCCGTAAGGAGCCTCGCCGCGGCATTCTGCACCCGCTGGAGTTTCTGAGTCAGCTTCAAGGGCAGCGAATTACAGTCATACCTCGGGTTGAGTAGCTTCAAGTTAAGTATTTTCGGGTTGCGCTCTGCGGCGACCCAGAAGTAACAGAGCGTGTTACTTCCGGGTTTCGCCACATGCGCAGACGCTCAAAATGATGTCACGCGCATGCGCGGAAGCGGCGAAATGCGGCACGTGCAGACGCGTGTTACATTTACTTCAGGATGCGAATGGGGCTCCAGAATGGATCCCGTTCGTATCCAGAGGTACCACTGTACAGTAATCAAGCCTGGAGGTAACCATCGCATGGATCACTGTGGCCAGATCAGGGCGAGAAAGGTAAGGGACCAGCTGCTTGATACAGCAGTTAGCTGTTGTAATTTGTGAGTTACCTGTACATCCAGTTGCCTCCTCACAGCCAGGTAGGGGTGAGGTGCTCCCAAGCCCAAGGCTTCCTGCCTCTCCTTCACATGGTCCTGTGCTCAAGAATTTGCCATGCGGTGGGACAGACGCCTTTACACCAATGTTGCTTCAGCTTACTGGGGAAGGGCAACTTAAGGAGGGTGGTGAGGTCAGTGGGTGCACTGGGGAGAGCGCCTGATGGGCTCTGCCAACGCGTTGAACCTCGCTGACACCCTGTGCCACCCCAGCCTTGTCCAGGCAGGCTGTTCTGTCCACCTAAAAGAACCATTACTGGTTACACTATGACTTATCACAGTGTGTGAACCAAGCCTAGGAAACTTAATATTAAACTAATATTAGGCCCCTTTTCAGGTAAATATTTCATTGTCTCTTTCCAGGAGGTGCTTGAGCTGGCATTCTCCATCTTGTACGATTCCAATGGACAGCTAAATTTCATTGCTCCTGACAAGCATGAGGTAAATCGTGTGTGATTCTATTTGTGTATTAAAAAGAAAAAGAGAGATTACCTTGTTGAATTACTTTGGTCGGCACTGAACAGTTTCAAGAATTCCTGAAGAACCAGCTAAGACTATGTTGTGGTTTTTCCACAGATCTCCAAGATGCTCTTTAGCTGATCATGGGTACTTGGGTTATAGCCAATCCTTGTATGTTCTAAGACAAACTTGTTCCAAGCAAAAACGTTCCAAAAAGGTCCACAAAGCAGCTGTGAGCTTCTCTCTGGTAGCCTGCGCATTCACACTAAACCGTGATTTGCGCAAACCAGCCACAGTCTACCTTCCTAAAGGCAGGTGGCGAAGAGATTGAGGGCTCACCTTCTCTCCCCAAGATGCTCTGCTCATGTCCAGCCTCACTTACCATCTCGGCTGCCACCAAGTGTCCTGATTTATTACTTCCTCAGTTTGGTCCCAGACTTAGCTGAAGAAAGAGAAGAAACAGTGTCGCCCCTGGTCAAGATTGAACTGCTGTTTTGTTTGATACAGCGCTTTTTGAGATCCTCTTCTTAGAAAACGTAAATATAACAGTGGAAGCCACGTTCAGGGAAGTGCAGAGGCAAAATCAAAGAGGACTTCCTCTATTGGGCTATTCTTTGTTGAGGTGGATTCCACAATCCTTCACCCAAAGCACCTCTTTTTATTTGACTCCCATGCTATTTACAGTGAATTCCAGCCAAAGACTTTCAAGAACTCTTCTTTAACTACAGTGTGGATGATTTCTTCTAAAATAATGTGTATAGAGCACATTATGTTTGGCTTTGTCCTCTTTCACCCCTTGTCATGTTCATATAACGATTTTTTCATCCCCCACCCAGCCTGGCGCTGCACACAGTGAGCTCTAGCTATTTTTAAGCTCAGCCTTATTTTGTAACACACGGTCAGCTAAATTTAAAATTCATCTTTCAGCACGGAATCTAAGAGAATCCTTTATATGATAAAAACACTGCTATGGCTCATTTAATTTTCCACTTGTAAACTAGGACACAGGCCAGTATGATTGAAATCTTTATTTTTAGACAGCTCCATTCAAGCACTTTTGTTCACAGTTGCATAAACGGTTTTTAGTAAGAAATTTGAGTGGCTGATGGAATAGGATTTGATGGTTGTTCATGAAATCCCCTAGGACTGCTGTTGATTTAAAACAGTTGTTTAGCCCGTGTTTATCTGGAACTGTCAGCTTCTGGGTGATGCTGCAGTTTTCCATTATTGTTTTTAAAGGAGGGGAAACGTTTGCTTCGTATTCACAGCTGAACCCAGCATCCAGAGTGTAGCTTTTAAATGTCCAGCGACACTGACGTAATTCTGATGCTTAAAACGGTCAGGGCAATGCAAGATCTCGCAATTCCCAAAATAGAGCCAATGACATAATCTACAGACTTTATATTGGTATCATGTACAGTGGTACCTCGGGTTAAATACTTTTCAGGTTACATACGCTTCAGGTTACAGACTCCGCTAACCCAGAAATACTACCTCGGGTTAAGAACTTTGCTTCAGGATGAGAACAGAAATCGTGCTCCGGCAGCACAGCAGCAGCAGGAAGCCCCATTAGCTAAAGTGGTGCTTCAGGTTAAGAACAGTTTCAGGTTAAGAATGGACCTCCGGAACGAATTAAGTACTTAACCCGAGGTACCACTGTATTACTAATTATACAGTTTTGCATCTACTTTCCATTTGCGTTCAGCATTTTTCATAATATGGATAGATAAATACACACACACCCAAATGAAGAAATAGTGCACCAATTTTGATCTCAGTTTTCACTCTCGGAAGGTCGGCGGTTTGAATCCCCGCGACGGGGTGAGCTCCCGTTGCTCAGTCCCTGCTCCTGCCCCCCTAGCAGTTCGAAACCATGTCAAAGTGCAAGTAGATAAATAGGTACCGCTCCGGCAGGAAGGTAAACAGCGTTTCCATGCGCTGCTCTGGTTCGCCAGAAGCAGCTCAGTCATGCTGACCATATGACCCGGAAGCTGTACGCCGGCTCCCTCGGCCAGTAGAGTGAGATGAGAGCCACAACCCCAGAGTCGGCCACGACTGGACCTAATGGTCAGGGGTCCTTTACCTTTTTTTTTTTTATGAAGTAGCATATCAGGCTTCTTCTTAAATATGATGAGCCCTCCCAGGTTAGTTGCCGCAGATTTATTTTGATGAACGAGTGAATCCAAAATTAAAGCTAGTTCTGCAATCAGAAAAGAGGCTCTGGATAATAATAATAATATATGTCAAGTCAATTCTTCCACAAAAGAAAGGCAGTGAAGTGACCAGCGTGTGATGGTTAGACCACAGCATGTCTTCCCTGCCAGAGGTTGGATGCAGAGGGTTTTTTGCATCTTCCCTACAAGAAGTTAGTCCCAGGAGGTGACTTAACATCCCCAGAATTATTTCACTGCTGTTCTGATCCATTGAGAACTTTGGACGTTTCCCAGTTGTGAATCTTCCACTGTCATGTCTTTGATGGCAAGTGACGCATTTTCCCCATATTGAGAAGGATGTATGAGCTCCAGATAGAAATACAGTGCACATGCATCTATGCCACAGCTGAAATGTGTGAGGTGCTGTCTTAGACATTTACCCTAGAAACACAAGTCACCTCTACCTTCTTCCCTACTTTGGCGTAACATCTGAAGCTGCCCTGAGAAAAGTAACTTGGCTGCATAATAACCTAAGATAGTATTTTTATCTTAGGTGGTGTTGAGGGATGAGCGTTCAGACCCCTGGACACTCACTTGTGGGGTGCCTCATGGTTCTGTCCTCTCCCCCATGCTTTTTAACATCTAAATGAAGCCACTGGGAGAGATCACCAGGGGGTTTGGGCTGGGTGTTCATCCATATGCCAATGATACCCAGCTCTTGCTTAAATTGGAACCAGTGAGGGAGGTGAACGTCCTTGTGTTAGTGTCTGGAGATGGTTGGAGGATGGATTGTGCCTAATGGATTGAGGCTGAATCCTGACATGACAGAAGTACTGTTTGGGGGAACAGGGGGTGGTGAGGGACTCCCCTGGTCCTGAATGAGATAACTGTGCCCCTGAAGGACCAGGTGCGCAGCCTGGGAGTCATTTTGGACTCACTGCTGTCCATGGAGGCGCAGGTCAATTCTATGTCCAGGGCAGCTGTCTTCCAGCTGTATCTGGTACCCCGGTCAAGACCTTGCCTGTGCACAGTTTCGACAGAGTGGGGCATGCTTGGACTACTGCAATGCGCTCTACGTGGCGCTACCTTTGAAGGCAACTCAGAAACTACAACTAATCCAGAGCATAGCTGCCAGACTGATGTCTGGGAGTGGCTGCCAGGACCCTATAACACTGGTCCTAAAAGATCTACATTGGCTCCCAGTATGTTTCCGAGCACAATTCAGTGCGTTGGTCAGGAACTTTAAAACCCAAAATGGTTGTGGCCCCGTATACCTGAATGTCTCAGACACTGAGGTCCAGCTCCGAGGGCCTTCTGGCAGTTCCCTCACTGGCAATGGTATAAGTAATTAATAATAATTATCATTGTCATCGTCGTCGTCATCCTTTCTCTTATAGGCCCAGACTGCCAAAATGTTTGCAACACAGAGCTTCTGCTCTTTATTTATCCATTCTGACTGCAATGAATATGGCATGCTTTTGCAGACTGATGCACTTATGCAAGGCAGAATAACGCAGCTCTTCCTTCCCTTTCTCCCCCTTTCCCTTCTAGTACTGTGTGTGGACAGATGGCCTAAATGCCCTTCTTGGAAAGGATATGATGAGTGAACTGACACGTAATGACTTGGACACTCTGCTCAGTATGGAGATAAAGCTTCGCCTCCTGGATCTGGAAAACATACAGATCCCAGATGCTCCCCCTCCCATTCCAAAGGAACCCAGCAACTATGACTTTGTATATGACTGTAACTAAAGCTACTCACACTGCTGAGACTTGCAATTTAAACTGGAAGTGCTATAACTGGAGAGTTGTTTGGTTTTTCTAAAGAAGAGAACAATATATGTGCATTGGACTTCATTTTTTGGGGGGGGGATGCAAAACATTTATTTCCTCTTGCTTTCTACCCTTCCCTTTGGCACCGTCCTCCCCGCTGCTAATGAAAAACACTGCTTTGCATTAACTTCTCCTCACCACTGGGCAAGATCTGGTGAACATTCCAACCTGAAAGGCGAACCAAGAGGAACTTCCTTGTTTTCTGAAATGCTGGGATACACATTCCAAACAAAAGGACAAAACGCACAACTCCCTACAGCTACAGCCAGCATTGCAGGTGCTTTAACTGGAAGCAGAGAAGAGGAAAGTCTTCTGCAAGTGGAGGACGGCAAGAGGTCTCTTTTCATGGAGTCAGCTAAAGAGGTGACCAAAAATGAAAACGAAGATGATTCACTGCTTTCAGCTTCTACACCATTTGTCGTGTCCTTTAAAACCAGCAGCCTCCCCATTTGTGCTACATCACGTAACTGTTTCTTAAGACGATGAGTCTACAGGTCTTTGCTGGAAACATTTCTAACCCAATATCTCCCTCACGTGATTTCCACACTTTCAACGAAGCCACTTGCTGTTTTGTGTCCCTATTGTGTACTTATATATCACAAAAAGGTGGGGGGGTCTGTTGTCCAGAGCGGGATTGTGGTTATTTTGTGTGCAAATGCGGCAGACGCCATAGATACCGAAAAGTGCTATGTATTCAGGTTTCCGTATAGACATGCGATTTCCAAGGGATTTGGTTTTGTACAAAACAACAGAACAATTGTTTTTGCCAAATATATATTTAATTAAGAACAAAATAGTATTGTGTGTACTTTTTCAAAAATTACCTGTGTGTTAATTTCCGTTTGGTACCTGGAACATTTGCCCTTGGAGATAAAATATGAACCAACATTCCCATCAGAATTGCTGTTGAATAAAATTGGACTTGTGCTGATTCTTGGGATTCTGTCTTTATTCTAAGATTCTTGTACATTCTCATTTCTAACTATTCTGCTCCTTATGGGTGGAAGGCAGGACAAGTGTGAGTTGGGAGAAAAGTATCCTGCTGTTACAACTGGCTTGAAAGAAATAGCTATAGTCTCCACGACTGTTAGCTGTAGAATAATTGAGCTGGAAAGGGACCATCAGGATATCCAGACCTCAAAACTGGACCATGCAGCTGCCAGCCCCACACAGAGGAACCTACGTAATCCAGCCAAGCAATCCAGATGTGGTGCTAGCAGGTCTATAGCTATAGACAATGTATGAAAGTAAACCAAGGCTGAGGAACCCTTTTTTAATGTGAAAAGGCAGCATTCCTTCAATAGTGATTTCTCGGGGAAGGGTACCCCTGAGTCACTCCATTTCTGTCTCTGCCACTACCTTCCGTCTTCCCCCATTGGCACAATTAGGCTTTGGGAGGAAGCTCCCATTGTCACCAATAGGAGGCTTTCTTAAAAGCCCAATGGCTGCGCAGGGTTGGGGAGTTTCATTGAAACTGCAGCATGCTGGGAAGGGAGGATGAACCACCATGCACACACAGCAATAAGACTTGGGGAAAGGATCTCATTGTCACCTAAGAAAAGGAGTCATTCAGCTATGCCCAAGCATAAAGGTGAGTTGAGAAATGGCCTGGGAATATCCTAAAGGGGATTTTGCTGAATATAATCCCATTTCCATGGCATCCAACACCTCCCTGTTGGGTCTGTTCTGTGTTACTTTGGTTTCCCCTTTTTTGAGCCAATGTATTACTTTAGTATTATTGCCTGGTACATTATGTTGTGCTGCTGGCTGCCTTATGTTTTATCAGTTTTGTTCTGTACTGTTGTTTGCTCAATGATTCTACTGATTGTATTGTAAGCTGTTGTGAGGTGAGTGTGTGTGTGTTAAGAAAAACAGGAGAAAATTTGTTGAATAAAATCCACACATTCCCGAACCTCAATATCTTCTTTAAAAAGGAAATAGATTACTGCGTAAATACACGCACCTGTATGTTCAGAAAACTAGAAAGCAGTAACGCATCCCTGGGTGTACAGTCCATTTTTAACTTTCAAAGCATTATATTTTATTCATACTGGAATAGGCACATCTGATAAAAATGAGCATCAAAGCCTGGTGTAAGTAATCTGGGACTAGCTTTAGCAGTTCTTAGGTGTCAGTGTTAGTGTACCAGGTTCAGCATGTGTGCTAGATGACAACACTTATCACCAACCTTTGTCAAGTGTGCAGAGATTCTCTTCTCCTGTCCTGACAAGGGCTCCCAGTACATTTCTGAGCACGATTCAAAGTGTTGGTGCTGACCTTTAAAGCCCTAAACGGCCTCGGTCCTGTATACCTGAAGGAGCGTCTCCACCCCCATCGTTCAGCCCGGACACTGAGGTCCAGCACCGAGGGCCTTCTGGCGGTTCCCTCATTGCGAGAAGTGAGGCTACAGGGAACCAGACAGAGGGCCTTCTCAGTAGTGGCGCCCACCCTGTGGAACACCCTCCCACCAGATGTCAAAGTGATAAACAACTACCTGACATTCAGAAGACATCTTAAGGCAGCCCTGTTCAGGGAAGTTTTTAATATGTAGTGCTGTACTGTTTTTAACACTGATTGGGAGCCACCCAGAGTGGCTGGGGAAACTCAGCCAGATGGGCGGGGTATAAAAAATTATTATTATTACTCCTTGCATGTGGTCAGGCTATGTGTGTTGCCTTGTGTTTTAAGAGGACAGAGACCTGGGCTTTGGTTTTGCCACAGTGTCAGATTGTACCAGATTTAATCTTTTGACATACAGACTTCTTTTAGCAAACATGGGGTGGGGTGAGCTAAGATGCATTTTTGCTTCCAAAAGCCTCTGTGTACATCCCTCCACGGGCCGGATTCAGTTGCTGAGATGAAAAGGCATCGTTCTAGCAAACGAATACGGAATTGCATTCTGAAATTTTAATGCAGCTAATACATTTTTCTTCTCCCTTGGAGGTGATTGGTATGCCCTACAGAATGATCAAACAGATGTGGAAGAGCACAATGAATGGAAATGAATGATTCATGGCAGATTTCTGGATATTAAGTGACTACCACATCACGAAATTGAATGTTTTCTGTGGCATGTCGCCTGCCTACTGAGAGGGGACTGAAGGCTTCTCTGTTCCTGTACTTTACCTGATGAGCAATCAGGTTGTGTTATGCGTGATATTGCACTAGGAACAAAGATTTATATATAGAATTGGCACTACAGCTTATTGTTCGTGGTTATATTATCTCTAGGGAATACCAGGAACTAAACAATAGAATACTCTACTGCTTTAAACCCTCTGTGATGCGTTTATCTTGACCATGGCAGTAAACAATTCCAGGTAGGTGACGCCATGCACATGCCCAAAGTTTTCTGCAAAAAAGGGAACATTCACAAGCAAGCCCAGCAGTCACTCTCACAACTGAGAAGGTCATGAGGCTCCATGCCTGCATGCCATCTTAGAAGCAGTACCATAAGGCCATAAAGTCGGAGACCAATAAGCTACAAATATCTGCATGCAGGTAAGAAAGAGGCTGGACTGAAAACCAAACCACATGAGTCTGTCTAAGGCAGGACAGATAGAAGTCTAGCTACCTGCTTCTGTATGATTCTAATTGAAATTCAGTCTCCTTCAGGCTATGCTTAGCACCCCACAGGCCTTCAACCTGGCTGGGTTAGCACAGGCTGTTGGGGAAACTAGAAAAACCTTTCATGAGACTGCGACGTGCTAAAAAGCCCTGAAAATGCCAGAAGTTCTGTATGTGCATCGTTGCTGGAAAGCCACAGCACTGTCAGGATCCGAACAAAAAGGGAAGCTTTTTCATGGTACCCGGAACCCCATATCACAGTTCCACAATTAATTTTCAGGTTCTTTGTATGTAATCGGGGCTTTATGCAAAGCATGGGAGGGGATCATAGATCACCCCCCCCCCCAATGCACACACATGTACAAGAATCAAGCAAGAGCTGCTTGTCTTTTCCTCTCACTTACCTATGGAATAAATGCATACGATCCCTCTTCTCATTAAATCCAGACATGTGTAGAGATTGCACACAAGTATTCTTCTTTCACTATTTTCAGTCGAATAATTTAACAATTTAAAAAATCTATTTAAAAATCCCGGGGCCAGTCCAAGGCATTTTGCTGCCCGAGGCAAAAGAGAGGTTGCCCACAATCCCACATGCCTAATCTAACCAAACTGGCCCTTGACTCACTCTTCAACGCTGGTGAGCGGACAGCAAGCTCTCTTTGGGACATCAATCTTCTTTAGCCGAGTAAGATTGTCTACCATGAACACGGTCTTAACAGTGAGTCCGTAGGTGACTGTGGAGGCCAATTCTGGATCCACACATCCTTCTACAGTGGGGACATAGGTTTCCGGGCGGGAGCTGATCACGATGAGGGTTTGCCAAGTGTGCCTTCCTCTTAGCACATTTCCCCCTTTCACCCTCAATTTGAGCATCTTCAAAACTCATGACACCTTTGTTCTCCAACTGGAGCGTTCGCAGGTCAGTGTTTCCCAGTTGTCGGTGTTTATACTACTTTTTTTTTAAGATTTGCCTTGAGAGAGTCTTTAAACCTCCTTGGGACATAGGGCAGCGCTCAAAGCCCATACAGTGCTACTCTCCAACACTGCCCTACCATCCCTTGCTTCCTGGCACTTCCTGCCGGATGAAAGCAGGTTCTCCAGTGCCGATCTTTGACCCTTCTCCAGAGCGCCCTAGGGATTCACGACGTTCCTTCCCTCAACAGCAGCACAAAAGGATTCATTCAGGGATAACTGAGTCTTCAAGACCTTTTGCAAAGACCTGAAGTATACCACCTTGATGGAGGCCCACCTTGTAGTGACTTTTGATTTTATGGAGTCACCACTGAGAAAGCCCTTTTCTTCATGCTCTCCAATTTAAGTAAACTTGGCGTGGGCAAGTGAGAAAAGCCTCCACAACTGATCTTCATGTGCAGGCAGGTTGGTACATCAGTGCAAGAATTAGGGGATCCTTTAAAGCAGTGGTTCCAACTTAGGGGTCCTGGGTATCCCTGAGGGTCCACGGCCCCATCCCTTGCCTCCCCTCCAACTAAATTGTTGCCATTTCTGCATGATACCGAGGTACCACTGTAACTAAAATCCTTTGCTTATTAGGGACTACCCCACTTTCCCCCCCAAAAAAATATTGCTTTGCAGAGGTAACTACCAGAGAGTTATCCAAATTTTCAGAAGTAGGGGGTCCATGGCTTGGTTTTGAAAAAGAGGGGGTCCTCAGTAATTAGCTAATTGGGAACAACTGCCTTCAATAAATCCTTTGGCTATAGCCTTTTAAACTGGGGCTGGTGTGTTGTTTCTGTTTGTTCCTAGGGTGTGTATTTTTGTGTTTTCATATTATGGTGCCCCCTGAGCTACTCAGGTGAACAGTGCTACAACAACAACAACAAAAATATCTGTAAAACCCACTTTCTGACACACCCTTACAAAAGGCAACGAAGCCAGGGGGCTTCTCCTGCCCACCC